TGAGTGTTGTCTGAATTATCTTCTAAGTATTGGTATTTTTCTGTATTTGAGTTGCTGGCCTCAGCTGTAGTTGTCAGTGTGGTGTTATTGTTGCTGCTTCTGTTTTTCTTTTTTGTGTGTATCTGGTTTTAACTGTTGTAATTGCTTCTTAACTTCAATGCTGTTTGGTGCTGTATTGTTTTTGTTGATTTCTGTACTTTTACGTGATTTTGATTCTTTTGTCTTGCTGGGTGGTTTCCAACACAAGAAAAGCAATGAGGAGGATTTTAACCCCTTGCTGACGGGGATGGCTTGTACGTACATGCCATGCCCACTGTGGGTTGACTTGTTTGATTGTTTTTGCACATAGATGGATATACTTGTACTAAGTCACCAGTGAGCCAATTACAAGTACTGCCAGTCTCGCCCGTTCACCCTTTTCATCGATTTATGAAAATATTTAATGTTATTTGCTGTTAAAAATAACATCATCTATATTTATGGCACTAGTAAGAATACGTTATTTCCCACCAATTCAAGGAAAGGTGAAATCAGGACTAGCAGAGCCATCTATGCACAGCAAAATTTCACAAAAAATATAAGAAATGAGTACAGTATTTTCCCCATTTTTTATTCATTTTCCCCCGCAGCAATGGTTTAAGTCTTTATGAACCATTTGGCTGTAATTGCTTTATCTCATTCTACTTCTTACATGACATGATACCATGACCATATCCAAGGTATTTAAAGCATTATGAGATGGGAAATATATTCTGGAAAACTAGATATTGAAATTTTGTTGGGTAGAGGATTTTTATTATTATTATTATTATTTTTTTTTACAAATTTTGTTTTCAATTCAACTTATTTCTTTGATGTGGGAATCTGGTTTTCTGATAACTTTCATCTTGTCCTAAATTTACTGGGAGTCCAATACAATTTCCACTTGATTTCAATAAGGTAGTTCTATATCACTGCACTTCCCAGCTGACAAGATTTTATCTAATTCAAAGGTCTTATCCTCTTTAAATCAGTCACTCCTTACCTTCATGCCTTTCCATCCCAATAGATTCTCGGGGAATTCTGCATTATGTATTTCTATTAGCTTGATTAATTCAGTGCTTCAATTATTTCTAGTTGTTTATGGAAGCTTGAAGGGAGTGACTGATAAATGTAAATGTACTACTTTCTCTTGCAGGGTACATTGTGTCTGATGTGAATATTTGGGGTTCCATGGACTGTCTGCCAGTTTCTTCGTTTCCTGCTTGTCTGGAGTATGGGTAATCTTCACTGTTGCTGTCTCTTTATCTGATGCTGTTCTGTTTGTAATTCATTACATTGCTTGGACCAGGCACATTGCTTGGATCTAGTTCAAGAACTGAGTTCATGAAGGTTTAACATCCCATATTAAGCAAAAGCTCTTGTGGACTGTTTAGTCTGTGATGGTTTATAGTCCTCAAGTGCTGCAACACAAGGAGTTTCTGCTGCCAATTTTCAGGAAAAAAGACTTCTTCTTTTAAAGGGTTTTAGGTTTCTGAAGTCTATATTTCCTGGATCTATGTTTCTTAGGTCTTTTGTTGTTGGAGATTTTGTATTATATCTATTTGTTTTGAACTTTGTAGGAAGATCTTCATATGTCGTAGTATGTAGTACTTTTTAGCTGGTGTGTATTCTGCTCCTGTTGATAAAAGAGATATGTTTGGATTATAAATTTTTATTTTCTTTAATGCATCAAATAATTTCATTCTAATGCCTAATGGTAAATAAATAAATGAGTTAGACACCAAAGATCATATAACAGTATTGTAAAGTATTGTGTAGGAAGGGGTAAAAATTATTTATTAAAATAAAATGTAATGTGAAAAGTCATACAGTACTATAGGATAGTGTATGGGGTTGTTTCTTACATTGTTTGTGAGATATCTACAGATGTCTTCCCATTCAGCCTTTTTTATGTTTTTAGTGAATGAAAGACTTGAAGGCAGCCCAGTTCTCTGGGCATCTGTAGTCTATTTTCTTTGGTGTTGTCTGTGTAGGTTTATGGAGAACCAGGGGAGTGTATACAAAGCACCCTGACCCAAGGAGTTGGTGATTGGTGGTTACAAAGCAATCAAAGACATCAAAGGTCATATAGCACTGCAGAAAGGTGAAGTAATGAAAAGGGTAAAGAGGGAGGGTTAGTTGATAATTAAATGTGTTTCACATCAAATGTCCAATAACAGTGAGCCATGACTGGAAGAGTGCCGGCTCCAGGAGGACTATTTCCAAGCTCAGGGTCCTATTCCCATCCTCCATGACCAGAAGCATAGGTTGTATTACAGAAAATTTATTTATTATATATATATATATTATTATATACATATATATATATAATATTATAAATATATATATATATATATATATATATATATATAATATTATATATATATATATATATATATATATATATATATATATATATATATAATATTATATATATATATATATATATATATATATATATATATATATATATATATAT